TTATATTCAGAAGACGCTATTATTCAGAAGCAGTAGAGCTTCTGAGGTTGTTAGCTAGAAGTTGTAAGCTTCTGAGACTCCTTAGTTAGAAGCAGTATTTTGATGTAATCAGAAAGTTGTTATTAATCAGAAGCAGAAGCTTCTGAGGTTACGCCCAAAAATATGCTTAATTTTTGGGGTTCTGGAGCTGAGTTTGTTAGTGTAGCTGTTAAGTTTAATATTTTCTAGTTTGTACATTTTAACTTAGTCATTAAATTTACTTTTATTAGGGCCTACGTGACGATTTACTTTGTGTGTAAATAGACTAGTAGTAATAATCATTTGTATCATTTCTTTTGTAAGCTTTCTAGCCGTCATTCCAGTAAATATATTCTCTCTTGTTTTTCCTTCATTTATTAACCTTGTGCACCCACAAAAAAAAATCAATAAATCAAAAAATTACTATAATAAAAATTTAATATATTAAAAAAATGAGATTGATCAAAGTTTAAATAATCTTTTTTATTAATATATAATTATATTTTTTATATATTATTTTTAATTATTATAATTTTTTTTATTTTTAATTTTGGGTAATTTTTTAAATTTTTAACAAAGCCTCTAATTTGATTGGACCGTATAAGACTAATATTATAAAAGTATAGGGTGTATGGAGGTGCCAAAATAAAGTATGGAGGTGACAGGATAAAATCTCGAAAGCTTCTAGACAAGGGCTTCTCATGACCAGATTTCCCTCATTACATCTTTAAACTTAAAGCCCATTTCAAATATGGACACAACGGGCTCATTAACCATTTGTATAACACAAACTAAAATGAGAATAATTCAAGTCTCCAATGGCACTTACAATTTCTAGAGTAATTAATTATTTAATCATATTTCAAAAAATGCAAGTTGCATTTAGTATGAAGGTGGCCGACTTCTAATTAAAGATAAAGAAGCAAAAATAGTACGAGGTCGAAACTAGAATGCTAAGAATTTATTCACATAGAAAACTAAAAAATGAGAAGTCATTGTTTGTATATGCAATTGTATTTTAGGGACAAGTCACAATTGATTCCGCAACTCCCCCAGCCACGTAAATCAACATTTTTGCACTATTTAGGTAAATTGTTGTTCACTTTACACTATTACGGTAAATCACCTAGTTTTGTTCCTATCACCTATAGCTTTGGAATATCCGTCGTTATTTCTTTTCTCTTTTTTGTTCTGTTTTCTTAGCCAAATCCGTGAAGTCTCTCATTTTTCTTCTTGTTTTTATTGTTATAAAACCGTTTTTTCTCTCAGACTCAGCCATTTCATTTTCACTTTTGGAATTGGAATCGGAATCCCGCCGCCGCTTGCAACGCCGCATCACTCTCCATTACAAGCGCCTGTAAGGTATCTATCTATCTATTCCCTAATTCCTTGGTTTGATAAATTGTTAGAATTATAGTAAGTGTCTTTTTTAACTAGTTATGCGTCTCAAACTACTCATCTTCGGAGTAATTAGTTGGAATTAATTATAATAATTAATTATCGTTTAGTCGTTAATGTTGCTCATTACTTTATGGGTGGGGATAAGGTTTCTTAGTTCTTGGAACTGAAGCGTGTGAGTCCAAATAAAAGAAGAAGAGAAAAAGCAACTAAAGCGTGCGCTTCTTGTAAGGTGCCCCACACTTATCAATTTTCTTTCTTTTTCTTAATTATCTTATTTTCTATAGAAAAAAAAATGATCAATATTGATTTTTTGTGTCTATACTTTTTAAAAATATTTTAACATGCATGATGTATAGGTTTTAATTCGGAGAAAAAATATATATTATATTTTTATACTGTCAATCAATCTGTCAATTTGTATTTTTAATTTTAAAATATTAATATAATATAATTAAATATTATAATTTTATTAATTGATAATATAAAATTAATTTATATTGATGTTGCACAATCTTTAATCTCTTTTAACTTAAAAGGTTTTTTTAACATAATATATATCAATTGATTTTTTAGAGAATCTAGAACAAACATGATCATAATATAATAGTCAAATTTGGAAAATAGGACAGGGGAAAGGACTGGATGATAGTATTGGATAGCAACTTCAACTTATGGGTGGAGGGTGACAAATGGAGACAAAATCACTAAAACACAAACATCTTAGGTTGATGAGAAAGTTATAAAAGAAGTATTTGTAAAAGATATATAATATTCAAATCACAAAATTTTGTAAAAAGTTTATCCATACTATTTCTAAGATTAACAACATTAATTAATATTTTTTTCATCTATGACTCCAAACTCAAATTTAACCTAACATTTTGTTTTTAAATAACACTTATTAATCACTAAAACCTAATAAATTTATTACTAGTCTATATTAATTTTTGCATTCCATTATTACACTAAAGAAACAAATTGATGGTCCCCTTCTAGAACAACCGTGGTCTGAGTGTACAATCAACTAAATGTGATTTGCCATGATGTAGTCAATTAGTAAACCAATAGCCAACCAAATACTTTGTCTTTGTTTGATTTTTGAGTTAAGTGCTCTTAATTAATATAATATTCAATATTACATTTCTAGTATTCAGAAAAATCCAAATCTCAAACTGTAAAGTGAGGACGTTTATATATGGGTTTATTTATTTCATATGGTTTACACCATCTACGACATTATTCACACCAATATATAAAATCGTATTAATGGATTTATATGAACAAGTTATCTACGAGAGTTTGATTTTGGTTAGACAACTTATCTTCTTAGTCAGCTTTTATGTTTTTGTTTAGATTGGAAAAAAATGAAAAGAATAAATGTGAAGAGAAATTAAGTGAATAAAAAGAAAATGATTTATTCACTTAATTTTTCTTTACATAAAAAAGAATAAGTTATTATTAAAAAAAAAGAGAATGATTTTTTTGAATGAACCTTCATATATTAAAAAAGATAAAAGAGTTGGAATTCAGGACAAGATCTCTAAACTGGAAATATTATAGTGGAAAAAAAATTTGTTAGAAAATTAAAGTAATGTTCATATATGTAATAATTTGTTTCAAATTTTAATTACTAGTATACTTTTAATATAAATGATTTTTTTAAAATTATACATGATTTCTAATCTCAAGATATTCGCTTTGAAGATGATTTATTGAGCTTCGTATGAATTTGAGACAAGTGCAGGTTCAGTTCAGAACATAATATTTTTGAATTGATGGTGAATAAAATTGATTCTAACAGAATTGAGTTTAATATAATTGATTTTAATAGAATTAAATTTAACACAATTGATTAGTGTTTTGATTCATTTATATAAAATTGAGTTGAATAATATGAATAAATTGACATTCTTAAACAAAACATATATTTATTTGTTCAAGGAGTCGCCAATGAGATTAACATGTGTTTTGGGTTACAATTTATTTTGTTTGAAATATGAATACTTTAAAGTTAATAGAAAAATATGATTATTTGAGAAATTTTGATGAAAAACTGAGTTATTTTGAAAAATAATTCACAATAATCACCATGTAACTATATTAAATTTACTATTAATTATTAAAATTAAACTTCTATATCTTACACACGCTAGACCTACCTACACTTACATTGAATGTCTTGCTTATTTATTTTATATAATTCAATGTACACTCGAGATGTAGTCTAGTAGCATGTTTAATCTTAAATTATAAGTTTTTTTTTTTTAGAATAGTAAAAGTTATAAGATTTAAATTTAAAGTTCTTTCAGAAACGGTTGTAAATTAGTAATATTTTAATTAGTAAAAATTGTTTCTTCTTCAATTACTTACTATTTTTTTTAAAATAGTTATTAGTATTAATTTAATTAATAAAATTCTATTTCTTCTTCAATTACTTTTTATTTAAAAAAGCACACTTTAAACATTCAAATAGTATCATATTAGGAGCTTGACTAAATAATCTCGAAGATATGATTCAATTCTCATTTGTAATAGTTGTAAAATGACAATAATATTGTTGTTATTAATAGTAATGTCCATTTTTACAATATTAAAAAAAATGTATTTTTGAACATATATAAAATAGGTTTTTTTTTTTAAATTTTATATTATCTCCGTTTTTATTATAATTCGTTTTGGACTTTTCACTCATATTAAAAATATAAAAAAATTTAAATGAGAAATTACAAAGAGTTTTACAAAATTATCTTTTATTAATGATACGTGGAAGATGAATTTATATAATTGAAAGGAGAGAGAATAATAAATATTTAAAAATATAATGTGAAAAATATTATTAATTATTCTTTGAAATTGTAAAGCAACTTATATTATGTTACAATTTTTTTTAAAAATGACTTATAATAAAAAACAGAAGGAATATTGTATTAATGTATTTTTTAAATTCCAAATGTAAGAAAGATAGATAATAGTATACATTTGGTATACCATATCAAATAAATAACATAATTTTATTATTTTTTCCCGCTATATTTATGAATTTAGACTAAATGTTTGACATTATACCTTCTCTATTAAATACTTGCTCTATCCCAAGATGAATATGAATGTCCTATTTTTAAAATAAAATCATTCTAACTTGCGTCATAAATATCTAAATCAAGAAAAATATAAGAGAAAGTAGACTAAGAAAAATGTTAGTATTGAAAAAAACAAAATAAAATTTAAACTTTTGAAAAAGTTTATGCACAATTTACAAAATAAATTTCTAGATTAAATTTAGCACTTTTCTTTAAAAAAATTGTTTTAAAATATGATATTTTTAATTTATAATATATAATATTAATTATTTTTCTTCTTATTAATATTATTTACAGAGTTTGAGTATTTATGAAGATATGTTAGTACCAAATCTATAAAGTTAAAATGACGTTATGATGTAATTTTATAGCGTGAGTATTGTGTATCAATAAATATCATGTGCGTATGTGTATATAAATACTCCGTATGTGGTTGCTCACTTCATTTCATTAATTGTATTTCTACATCTTCACAACACATTGAGATTTGCAGAGTCAGAAATGGAAAAGTTCCTTGTACCACTCTGCATTCTTTTGATGCTTCTCTCTGTTAAAGCTGCTCCTCGAAGATCTCTCATCACACATCTCCCTGGTTTTTATGGCAATTTCCTCTCCCACCATTACTCAGGGTATGTAGCATGTAACATGTTACTACTATATTTTAATTTCATGTATCAATTTTGAATTTGGATTAATTATTTAAATTTTGATTTCAGATATGTAAGTATTGATGGAAATGCTGAAACTGGAAAGAACCTGTTCTACTACTTTGTTAGTTCAGAAAGAAATCCCAGAAAAGATCCTGTTGTTCTATGGTTGAATGGTGGACCTGGTTGTTCAAGCTTTGATGGATTTGTTTATGAACATGGTATGTTATACTTTTAATATTTATGTGTATATGTCACTCTCATTAAACTTTTATTAATTCTTCAACTGCCCACTGTATGGGCGGGGCACATATAATAGTTGTCACTAATTGACCTAATTACTCTCTATGCAATATTTGAATTTCAAACATCTTTTTATACCTTTTAACATCTCGTATTCATGTTTGATCTTGACATTTTTGTCTTCATCATGATCATCGATGGGATTAAAGCTCGAACTTGAGACCTGTGAGACTTGAGAGGATTCTTATCTTAAAATCTCTGGATCAAATTTAGATAAGTGTTTACAATTCTTGTACAGTGTATCTATTTATAATATATAGAGCAAAAACTTTGATTTTAAATGGGTCATGCAAGTGGATGGTGAGATTGATCTCATTGATTAGTCGGTCCTTGGTTCTAGGATCAGATTTCGAGTTTAAAAAATATTCAAAGAAGTTACATGAAATCATGCAAATTTGATGTCATCTTAGGTTGTAAAACATTGAAAAAAATGTCGGTTCTCACATTAATTTTACAACGAATACATTGAAAAAATAAAATTTAATGTTGATCCTTAATTTATGTGATTGTGAAATATGAATGTATGCAGGACCATTCAATTTCAAGGCTGCAGAATCAAAAGAGAAACTACCCACTTTGCGTTTCAATCCTTACAGCTGGTCTAAGGTTAACAACACGTGACACCCCTAAAATAAATAATGCTTTATTTGCATCTAATTATTATGCATTGAAAAAAGTTATTTCTTTTGACCAAATTTATATTGAAAAGAAAGTTACTCAGTCTTTCAATATTAGATTAATTATTTATACTGAAATCAATGACTTAATTTAGTTAAATATATTAATTATTTTTATATTTATTTATTTAATTTTTTATATTAATTATGAGTTTTGTAATAAATTTCAGGTTTCCAACGTTATATATTTGGATTCACCAGCTGGTGTTGGGTTCTCTTACTCAAAGAACATAAGCAAATATTCAACTGGGGACCTACAAACAGCTTCGGATACTCATGCTTTTCTCTTGAAGGTACTACCAACAACACAATTAATCATTACCATTTCAAATTATATTTAACACTTTAATTAATCTTCATTATTCGTTTTCTTGTCCAAATTATGTCTAATATAAAAGAATCATTTTTTTCCCTTTTTCTTGGCAGTGGTTTGAGCAATTTCCAGAATTCCAAGCTAATCCATTTTATATTTCTGGAGAGTCTTATGCTGGAATTTATGTACCCACTCTAGCTTTTGAAATTGCTAAAGGTAACATAAGACTAGTGTTTATTTTATTTATGGTGTGAAATTAATTGAAGCATAATTTTTGTGTGCATGACATGCCAGGCATCCAAAATCGAACAAAGCCCGCGATCAATTTGAAGGTATGACACAATTTTTGTATTACTCCGGTAATTATTATAAAATAAAATTTCATTTTTTAGATTTATTAAATAACATATATATCTGATCTATATATTAAACTAGATAGGTTATTTAATTAATTTAAAAAATTAATTTAAAAATTTTGCATTCAGTGACCCCAAGGTGTATAATATGAAACCAACTGTAGCAAATAGTTCAGTCCAAAAAAATAAGAACTGTAGTGCCTGAAATTAATTTGGAATTTACTGAAAAAAACTAATCTTTTCTTAATTATGTTTGACTATTCTTTCTTTGATGTGTAGGGTTATTTGGTGGGAAATGGTGTCACGGACCCAAAGTTTGACAACAATGCTTTTATCCCATTTGTGCATGGGATGGGCCTTATATCAGACACTATCTATGAGGTGTGTGTTCAACAAATAAATAAATTGCTAAATACACCTCTCTTCTTTTACAGTACTATATTTATAACTTTAATAACATATATACTTTTAAAATTTTATAATTTGCAGGATGTGCATGCTTCTTGCAAAGAAAACTACTACAATTCTGATTCTGAGAGTGATCAATGTGCTAAGAGCATGGAAAAAGTTAGCAAGGTGAGATAACCATGCATGGCACTATGCTGAGAGTTTTTTTTTCCTCTGCATATTATTATTATTAGAAATAATATTGATGAATTTTATATGGTATACATATCAGGCTATTCAAGGGCTTAATGTGTACAATATATTAGAGCCATGCCACCATGACCCACGAGTTGCAACAAACTTAACTTCTAATTTACCATTGAGTTTCCAAAATTTAGGATTAACAGAGAGACCTCTCCCAATAAGAAAGAGAATGTTTGGTAGAGCTTGGCCTTTTAGAGCACCGGTTAGAGATGGTCATGTTACCTTATGGCCTCAATTATTGGCCAACACTAGACACGTTCCTTGTGTCGTAAGTTTTCTCATTACTTTGATTCTATTTATAAAAATATTTTTTTTTTAAATTTATTGAATAATCAAATATATCTTATCTTTATATATTTGATTTGCCTAATAACAGAGTGATGAAGTAGCAACATCGTGGTTAAACAACCCTTCCGTCAGAAAAGCCATTCATGTTGAGGCGGTAAGTAATCACGAATATTAGTATTATAATTAGAGGCAAAATCTAATTAATTGTGGACTAATTAATTTATAATTATTAAACACAGGCAAGTGGTACATGGGAGTTATGTACCGATAGGATAAGTTTTGATCATGATGCTGGAGGCATGGTTCCTTACCATAAGAATCTAACGAAATTGGGCTATAGAGCACTTATTTACAGGTATTTAAAAAATAGATATATGAATCACACATATTAGTTAATCTATCATGCATTATTTGGATCTTGAAAATTAATATATGATGCATTAATAATCAATGACAGTGGAGACCATGATATGTGTGTACCATTTACTGGAAGTGAAGCTTGGACGAGTTCTTTGGGATACAGAACTGTGGATGAATGGAGATCATGGATCTCTAATGACCAAGTTGCTGGGTAATTTAATTCATTTCTCTCTCAATATTTCAATATTTTTCAATAATTTTGTTCATAAAGTTTTACAATTTTGGAGACACAAGAAAATGAATTGAATAACAAAATCATTTGATGCTGCAGGTTCTTACAATCTTATGAGCACAACCTTACCTTCCTCACAGTAAAGGTGAGTCATAAAATACTTTTTATCACATTATGTCAACCAATTAGTTTTTTTTGTTTAAATGTAATTAAAATAATTTTTTTATTATTAGATATTTATATTTATATGTATGGGTTTGGTAATGGTGCAGGGAGCTGGGCACACCGTACCGGAATATAAGCCAAGGGAGGCATTGGATTTTTACAGCCGTTGGTTGGATGGAAAATCAATTTAATTGTAAAATGGACCATCCAAAATTATAATATATGTACAATAAACATATTATATATATGAACAAAATCGCGAAGTGATTAAATTTTGTGATTTACCCTTGCATTAAATCAAATGTTAAGGGATTATTATATGTTAGTGAATTTAATTTTGTTTCATTTCTCAATCTTAAGTTTTGAACGTAATATTGAATATACTAAAAATGAAATATAACCATAGCAGAAAAGAAAGACTCATCAGGCCATCATACCGCTTAGTGCCTATGCGGGTGAGGACATTTGCATATGGATGGGTAACAGCAATTGCCAATTCTCTGTGGCTAGTGTTTACAGAGGCTTGTGCGATGGGCAGGAGGTGAACAATGCAGACATCTGGAAAACAATTTGGAGGTTGAAAGTGCGGGAGAGGATTCGTCATTTTGTTTGGCTGCTGCATCATGAAGGTGTAAAAACGAATCACCTTTTGGCATCCAGAGGCTTGGGTGAACCTTACTGTAAGGACTGTCCTAGGGATGAAGAGACATACCTTCATGCGCTTAGAGATTGCAGAGCGGTGAAACCAACCTGGGTGAGATTGGTGAATGCTAGGCACCAGACTGAGTTCTTTACAGCTGATGCAAGCAACTGGATTAACATGAACAAAACATGAACATGAATGGTAGCTGGGGACGGGACATTAAGAGACAGTGGGATGAGATATAGGCAACTGCTATTCAGACTTTCTGGTTCTGGAGAAACAAGCGTGTCCACGACCCAATGTATGTGATGTCAGCTTCAATCCATACAAAGTTTTGTGTAATTTGAACACCATCCCTTCTTGATTCTTTTTCTCAAATCCAGGAGGTTGTGACACGTATACCTCTTCTTGTAATGGACCATTCAGAAATGCAGATTTTACATCTAAATGCATCAGAGGTCAATTCTGGTTAGCAGCTATTGCAATCACTAGTCTGATTGTTTCATGTCTCGCTACAGGTGCAAACACTTCAGAGTAATTCAGCCCAGACTTCTGTAGAAAACCTCTTGCTACTAATCTTGCTTTGTGTTTTCCAATTGATCCATCTGGCTTTACCTTCTGCTTGAAAACCCATCTGACGCCGATGACTTTCTTGTCTTTTGGAAGTTCTGTCAGCTTCTAAGTCTTGTTTCTCTCTATAGCATCAAGTTCTTCTTTCATGACCTGCAACCAGACTTGCTGCTTAAGAGTCTCTTTCGTACTCACGAGTTCAGAATTTACTAACATTGCATACTGAATAACTTCTCATTCGGAGTCTACTTCAGTGTCTTGTAACATGTCAAACTCTGCAAATCTTCTTGGAATGCTTCTGATTCTTTGTTGCCTATAAATTTGAACTTCAGAACCTCGAACACCAGAACTTTCTCCTTCAGAAGCTCTTGCTTCAAAAATTGGACTTTCTCCAGAACCTTGATTGTCTTCAGAGTCTGGAAAATTTCCAGAGTCTGAATCACCATCAGAGTCAGAGTCAGAGTCAGAGTCAGAATCATCTTCATCTTTTGTATCTTCTTCAGAGTCAGAGTCTTCAGAAACATATGTTTATGACTTTTCTTCAGGAGTTCTCTCATCAGAGTCAGGACGAGACCTTTCCCAATTCCAGACTTCTGATTCTTTTACAATGACGTCTCTGCTGAATTCAACTTTGTTAGTTTCTGAATAATAAAGTTTGCATGAACATGTACTGTGATACCCCACCAGTAACATTACTTTACTTCTATCATCCAGCTTCTGTCTTCTGGGACATGTTTGTAACATACATAACCAAACACCTTTAGATGACTAACACTTTGCTTATCTTCAGTCCACTTCTGAATAGGAACTATTTCCTTCAACTTCTTCATTGGACATCTGTTGAGCACATAACATGCAGTGGCAATAACTTCTCCCCACAAAGTATGAGGAAGCTTCTTCTCTTTCAGCATGTTTTTCACCATATCAAGTAAAGTACGATTTCTTCTTTCAGCAAGACCATTGTGTTGAGGAGTATAGGGAGCAGTAACCTTATGCTCAATTTCACTCCCCTTACAGAACCTTCTGAATTCTGTGGAGTTATACTCACCACCACCATCAGTTCTAAGAATCTTTAGAGTCAGGCCACTCTGATTCTCAACCTTCAGTCTGAACTTCTTGAATTCAGCAAACAATTCGTGTTTGAACTTTATGAGAGATACTCATGTCATTCTGGTGAACTCATCAATAAATGACACAAAGTATTTATTCCCTCCAATTGATGCTACTAGAAATAGACCGCATACATCAGAATGCACTACTCCCAAGGTATGCTTTGCTCTTGGAGATACTTCTGATGCAAATGGTAATCTTGGTTTCTTCCCTTCTATGCACACCTTGCATAACTTCTCAGACTTCTTGATTATTGGAATTTCATGTACCAGCTTTTTTGATTTCAGATGCCTTAAGCTTCTGAAATTCAGATGACCAAATCTTCTATGCCACAACTCACTCTTCTTGACAACACTTGTTGCACTAAGACATTCAGAGTCGACAGTTATAACATTCACCTTGAATGTTCTTTTCCTTCCCTGTTTTGACTTCATAATCAGCTTCTGATTACAGTCATACAACTTCAGAAGATTGTCCTTCATGGTAACTGAAAAACCTTTTTCAATCAATTGTCCCACACTTATCATATTGCTTTTCATGCCTGGTACATATCATACACTCTGGATTACTGCTTCTTTCCAATTGTTTAGAATGATTCTGACATTTCCCATACCTTCTGCATTGAGGTATTTATCATCAGCACATCTGATCTTTATACTCCTTCTAGAGTCAAAATCAATCAACCATTTCTTGTTTCCAGTAAGATGGTTTGAACACCATGTGTCCATAAACCACCACTCTGATGAATTCATATTATTAGGTTCAAAAGCCAACAATATCACATGTTCATCATTAGACTCTCCTCTGGCTATATTTGTTTCTTCTGACTTCCTTTCTTTGTTTGACCAACGATCTTTGGCATAGTAACCAAAGTTCTTGCAACATTAACACTGACCATGAGAGGGCAGGTGATTCTAGGAATGAAGGTTGTGGTATCAGAGTCAAAAGTTGGATTTTCTGAGGAGGGAGGTTGAAAGTTTGGATTTTCTGAGTGGGGAGCTTGAAAGTTTAGATTTTCTGAGTGGGGAGCTTGAAACAGCGGATCAAATTGATCAATATTAGATAGAACTTGAGCAAGTTCAGGCTGATTTTAATCAAGATAGGTAGAAGGTGGTTCGTCCAGAATGTTTTCTAGAGTAAGTGAGGGGTCAAATTCAATGTCAAAGTCATCAAAGGTTTATGGTGATGGATCTTCTATGGGTTTTGGAGAGGAAGGATTTTCAGATGTTGATAACATAACTGATTCAATAATAGAAATAAATGATGAATTACCTTTCTTCTTAGCAGCATTGGGAATCTTCTGAGAAGATCCTTCTCCAGCAGATTTCCTTTTCCTTGATTTTTTAAGGGCAATCTCCAGAGGCTGTTGTCTCAGATCACGAATATTCACTTCTGGATTTGTCCCGTCCATTTTGCAAGCCTTCAGATATCTGACAATAATTTTTGGAGAAGCATCTGTTTGAGAGAAGAGAGGAAAATCCTTCATAGGTACTCTTCTAGTTGTGATGACTTTCTTGGTTGTTATTGTTGGATCCTTCTTGATGGTGTCAATGATCTTCATTTTCTTCAGATTCTTAGCGTACAGAGGTTTACCAGCACATGCTTCCAGAGTGCTAACCTATTGAGCCTCAGTTAGATATTCTACCAGTTTGTTTTCTGTCAGAATATCTGACATGAGCCTGCCCAGAGGTATCCAGTCTCTCTTTGTTCTTTCTTCTTCTCTTGTCTCTTTGATGCTGGTCTTCAGATGATTAAACAGAAGATGAGGAAGATTGACCTTTGCCTTGGTTTCTATAAAGTACAAAAGATGTTGTTGATCAATGTTGATATAGTCTGGAGAACTTGTGGGTTTTCTGTGGTTGATGCAACCCAAAATAATTTTTGATCAAATTATGAAGTAGCCTTTCAGATCTTTGATTTTGTTTGAATGTTGGCTAGAAGAAAAAATATCTTTTGAAATATTTGTTAGGTTAGAGCATTTGTCTTCCATTTCACTGTAACAAATACCTCCACTGTCATGACGTATCAAACGCCCAATGAGATCTTCAGAGATTACTATTTTCTTTCCCATCACAAAAGAACTGGCATGATGATTTAAGGCAGTAGCGTGAATCCAGAATTATTTAACCAGTGTTGGAAAAACTGGACCCAGTAGACAATCAAAATACTTTGTCCAACCTTGAATTTCAACATCAGGTGTTAAACTGTAACCGTTTCCCTTCATACTAACAAAGTCCATAATGAGTTCACACAAAACTTCCAGCGAGTCAATGGGAGTCATAAGTGTTCTTGAGGATTCTTCATACCTTTTTGCTGTTGAAGAAGAAGAGCCAAGAACATTTTGAGAGCTTTGAGAAATTTGGGAAGAAGCCATTATTCACACAGACTTTTGAGAGTTTTTTTTTTTAGAAAAAAAGAACACAAGTAATATAGAGAGAAGAAGTGAGAGTGAAAAAGTGAAAGTGAGCAACGAATTTATAGGAAAATAGGAAACTTAATTAACAAGAAAAAAGGTTAAAAGAAATGATTACAAAGCATTAACGATTCCTGAAAAATAGGGGATGGCGTAGAGATATTAAACAGTTACCGATATGACACGAGTCTCAATGCATCCAATCAACGCTTTAGTCTCTTCAGAATTTGAACACGTGTTTATCCTTAGAAGAAACTCTTGTGAGAAGATGAAAAATGTTGATTTTGTGAAATTGCACACTTCTATCTTTGAAATGAACCATTTGGAAACTGTTCAGATCTTCTTAGATAGGTCCTGATACAACTTTCCTTCAAACTTCTGAAGAATTATTGATCAGATGTTCACAAAAAAAAAACAAAGTTCTGAGGATAATCATACATAAATAAAACTATCATTCTGGACATAATTTCATGATGAGATGTTTCAGAATAAAGTTAAACCTATCTTTAGAAAGGGGTTTTGTGAAAACATCAACCCATTGATGGTCTGTGTCAATAAACTTTAATGGAATAATTCCTTTCTGGATATAGTCTCTAATGAAATTATGTTTTATTTCTATATGCTTAGCCCTAGAATGTAAAATAGTATTTTTAGATAAACAAATAGCAGAAGTATTGTCACAGAGTATAGGAATGTTACTCTCAAATATGTTGAAGTCTTGAAGTTGACTTTTCATCCATAGCATCTGTGTGCTATGTCCAGCTGCTGCTATATATTCAGCTTCAGCAGTTGACAATGCAATTATGGATTGCCTCTTGCTGGACCACGAGATAAGATTTTCTCCCAGAAATTGGCAGCTTCCAGAAGTGCTTTTTCTTTCTATTCTGTCTCCGGCGAAGTCAGCATCACAATACCCTACTAATTTGTATTCTTTGGTTTTTCTATAACAAAGACCAAGATTAGTTGTACCTTTCAGATGCTTGAAAATTCGCTTAACATCTGTTAAGTGAGATTCTCTAGGATCTAATTGGAATCTAGAACACAGACATACACTATATAGAATATCAGGTCTTGAAGCTATTAGATATAAGAGAGAACC